CCCTTTTCTCTCTCTCCCCCCTATCTCTCTCGGTCTCTCTCTCTCCCCCCTTCTCTCTCTTTCCCACCTATCTCCCTCTCTCTCTCCCCTTCTCTCCCTCTCTCTCTCCCCCTTCTCTCTCTCCCCCCTATCTCTCTCTCTCTCCATCCTTTCTCATCCCTCTACCCTCCACCTTTTTTCTGTACCGGACCAGCGCTCTGTAGAACTTTCTCCCCCCCCCACACAGACACAAACTTTCCCAGCTCGATGATTAGGGAAGTGAAGTGACACTCACAGCTCGGTGACATTCTCCACGTTCTGGAGCAGGGAGATGTTGGTGACGGTGTTGGTTTCCAGGCACTGGACCAAGGTGGAGTAACACCTGCAGTATTCGGGGCAGGAGGTCGCGGTGCCAGCTGTGACGAGGAAGGTGAGGGTCGCCAGTACCCAGCAGGTGGGGTGTGCCATTTCCAGGTTCATGGTCCTGGGGGGTCTAATCCCCAAGGATCTGGTCCTCTGTGGTCCGGTCCTGGAGGGTCTGACCATCGGTGGTCCAGTCATCTGGAGTCCGACCTTTGGTGGTCCAGTCATCAGGGGTCCGACCTTCCGTGGTGCAGTCTTCAGGAGTCTGACTCTCCGTGGTCCAGTCTTCAGGAGTCTGACTTTCGGTGGTCCAGTCATCAGGTGTCTGACCTTTGGTGGTCCAGTCATCAGGGGTCTGGTCCTCTGTGGTCCGATCCTGGGGGGTCTGACTTTCGGTGGTCCAGTCTTCAGGAGTCCAACCTTCTGTGGTCCAGTCTTCAGGGGTCTGGTTCTCCGTGGTCCGGTCTTCAGGGATCCGTTCCTCCTTGGTCCGGTCCCGGAGCGTCTGACCTTGCGTGGTCCAGTCTCTGGTCCCATAGTCCGGTGGGATCACTGGTTTCCCTCCCCCCAGCTCATGGCTCAGTGCTCAGGCAGTGATGAGGACTCCGGCTCTCTCCTGCTGCCTCTCTGCTCTGAGCTCTGGAGGCTTCTGCCCCGACGTACAGACAAGTGGATGGGAGGAGCCGGGAAGACGGTCCATCATCTCCCTCCCTGGGACACAACGTGCTGAGCTCATAATAAATAAACCGGCCCTATTAACTCTCAGATGGGTCCCCCATGGCCGCCCCCGACCCCCCTATCAACCACCACACGGGACAGGACTACTACTCCACTCAGCATCCCTGATGGAGGACAAAGGAGCCCCATTAGGCATGCAGAAGAGGAAAAGCCCCCAGAGCTCCATCTACGGAAGGATGGACATTGATGAGACGATGATTGTTAACGAAGGGCGGAAAGGTCTCCAGACAACCTTTACAAGTGGCCATACACTATACAATCTGATCGTACAATCACCTTACAGGCTGACCATACCCACACAATCTGATCGTACAATTTGTAAGCTGGCCATGACCACGCAATCTGATTGGACAATCTCTTCTAGTTTTACCAAAATGTGATATGAGGACTGACCCAAGCCATCCATTCTATTGGTATCTAATCAGGTCCTTGCATCGCATGGTGGATGGCAGATCTGAAGGAGGTGGTACAATTCAGATTGTATAGAGTATGGTTGGCCTTAGAGGTCCCACGGAGACCGTGCAACCTGCCATTGGGATGGAGAGATTTCCTGCAGGGTATGGGCAGCTGGAATGAGATTGTACAGGGATCGTCCAATCAGATGGTGACCTCCATCCATGACGTGTTTAGGGTCTGTCTCATAGAATGGGTTGTTCGGGTCGAATAACGTGGATTGCACGGAGGTCGTACAATCAGATTGTACGGTGAGGGGCAGTCCATCCAAAAGGGAAATTTCGGTTATAGGTGGAGTTGCCTGCTGGCGTCTTATATTCCTTGAGGGAGTGCGGGGGCGGGGCTGAATTGTAATGTCCCGTAATATCCAATCCTAACATGGATATAAGGATGGAGTCACCCTCCCATGGACATTAATATGGAGTTGCCCTCCGCCCACCCCCCCATGGCTGTTAATATGAAGTTGCCCCCAATGGCCATTGATATGGAGTTGCCCCCCCATGACCATTAATATAAAGTTGCCCCCCATGGACATTAATATGGAGTTGCCCCCCATGGACATTAATATGGATCCCCCC